CCAATCTTGAATGAAGAGTTGTTTAATGATAAGTAACAATCACTAATGATTGCACTGTAGAATCAGCACTGTTGAGAACAGTAATTCATAGAGTTGAGTACAAGTCTGGAAAGTTTGGAGACCATTTATGCAAATAATCTCAGGATACTGTATGGGAAAGTATTCCTTGGCATGTCATATACTGATCATGATGAGGTTCTAATTATCAAGTTCACAGAAGGATTGTTAAGCAAACCCATGTGGCACAACATGGGTGTCAAGACATATCTCTGACTCAGGCTAATTCTTTTGTAACTTACTGAGATGTTTACAATAAACTAGATAATGGATCAGAGGAGAGAGAACCAACAATCTTGATGACTGCAATGTTGCAGTGGCTTATCCAGCTCAAAAATTTATCTCAAAAGGTTTGTAAGAGTTTCCATAGAATGATCAACAGCTTCACTGCCATAGAAGCCAAAAGGTATCATGATGCAGCCACCTTAGTTCTTTATGGGATGAAAGAACTTCCCAGGTCCACTCTTCAAACTGCAACATCTATCCAACAGGAGGAACTTTTAAAGAGATGCTTTGAACGTGGGAAACATAACCCCTACTGCACAAAACGATCAGCAAAAGAGAGTTCCATCATGTGATACATGCTTGTAATGATACACAGACCAGCAGTTTAGTTTCTAATTGATACTGGGGTAGCTAGAATATTGCATGATCTTGCTGTGCATCAGATTCTCTAAATGAATCCAATACTGTGTCCAATTAATAAAAACATTGTACTGAAAATTGGTGGCCAGCTAGATATAAATGGATAACATGCCCAAAACACCATCTTGTCATTCACCAAATGAAAGTAGTTGTCACTGATCTAGATTTAGGGATACACCTACTGTGGATATTGTTATCCAATTTCATTTGTGCAACAATTCTGTGTACACATCCCATTTAGTGTCAATCAGATTTGGACTGAGAACAGTGGGCTACACCTGTGCACATCAAAAAGATCTTAATAACTCAATGTGCACAGTGTTCCTTGAGGTGCTATGAACACAGTACTATGCGCTGCTACCTTCTACTGCAGTGATTGCAAAAACACAAAATAAATAATTTTATGTACAAAAGGCAGAATATACTAATAATCTGTCCATGTGCTGGTCTGTGATTATGGACATATAGTTTCCAGCTAAAATAGTAAACAGTAAAGTAATGGAGGCAGAAGTGATAGAAACCAGAGCCAGTGCTAGATGACATTAGATTTTTAAGTCACAACACTGATATCCTTAAGAACTTGCATAATTACCAGGAAGCAGCAGTAAGAGTTGCTTATGAGTTCTCAGAATGGTTCAGCATTCTTTAAACTAGCTTCTTCAGTACTTACAACACTGAATATATAATGAGACAGGTTAACAATAGGTTTAAGGATGGTTCTAGAATTGGAAGAACAACCATAAATGAGCTGAAGTACTAATAGCAATATTATTTCAGCACTAATAGCAGTATAAGAATATCAATTGCAGGAACTGGTGGACATGCAGTACACAGTATGTGCACTTTTCTTGAATCCCCCAAGAAAAAAGAAACTAAAGTCATAATGGTGAGGAAAGTGCACCAGCAGATTACGATCATAAAGAAAGAAAAAAAAATAAGTATTATAATAGTTATGTTGAGATCAGGATACAGATTGAAATAGCTAAGACAACTTTTTAGAGAAAGTATGTTATTTGGAGATGTGGACATTAATAAAACCACACTACTCAAACTCTTCACAATCCTCAAATGATGGCCTGTAATATCATATGCAGGTCCAGCCCATACTAATTTTCCTTCACCCAGCAAGTATTTTGCCATATTTTTATATTTATAACCACAACATATATATTTGTCTAAGTCTGTGTTAAATATTACTGTGGAGCAGGAAAATATATTAACTTAAGAAAATTTCAACTGCTATACAAAATAGGTAACCAAAAAAAAAAAAAAAAAAAAACAGCACACATTTTCAGTGTTTAACAAAGAATATCATATACTAAC